CTGGCAGCGAACACTACCCCAGACGCCCCACGCTGAGCAAACCACTCACGAAGCTCCTGGGGCGTAGGGGTCTCACTCTGACACGGTTTCTGCTGCCTGTGACCGGCTCCACCCCGACCGCCACCACTGCCGCCGCCACCACTGCCACTGCCACCACCACTGCCGCCGCCACCACTCCCACTGCCGCCACCACCGCCGCCACCACGGCCTCCACCCCAACCACCACTCCCTCCGCCACCAGCGCCACCTCCACCGCCTCCACCGCCCCCACCACCGCCTCCACCTCTGCCACCCCCACCACCCCCGCCTCCCTTGCCCCTGCCGCTGCGGCGCCTCCCACTAGGAGCAGACGCAGCTCCTACCTCCTCAGCACGAAGGTAGTCAACAGCAGCAGCAGAAGCGACTGAGGGGACAAGGAGGGAGGGGGAACACCCCTCAAAGAAAGGAGTGCGAGGAGTGCCATGAGAAGCGCCTACAGCGACTATGCTGGTCTCAGATGCAAGGAGGTGCTCCTCGAGCAGGTCGACAGTGAGGTCCGTGGGGTCAAGGGCGAGGAGGAGGTCCCTGACTGTGCTAAGAGAGTCAGGAAGGCGGGTGACGATGAAGTAGAGAGTGATGTACATGGGAGGAACTCGGCGGGAAGTGCGGCGTGGTAGCGAGTGTCACTAGTGCGAAGGTGAGTGACGAGGTCGGCAACTGTGGCAAAGGCGGACAGCTCGGGAAACAGGTAGGGCAGTATAAGGCGGCCTAGAGCAGCAGTGGCCGGTGAGGAGTAACGAGCGACTACATCGTCGTACAGGGCTCTAGCTGTCTTGTGCTTGCCAAAGTGAGCGCGTTCGGCTAACGGCAGGTGGTTGCGAACGGCTAGGCGAGCAGCAGCGTCACGGGTAAGCCACTATGAGCGAGTCGCACTGTAAGCTGTCGCGGCGGGGGCAAGAGAGGCTCCAGACGTGAGGTCAAACAGCGAAACACCGTCCCTAGAATCGCTCAGTAAGTACAGCTGTAAGTCATCGAGCCACGCATCGAACTCTATCGGGCGGCCCTCCGGATGGAAGGTGAGGACGCTGAGAGTTGCCATAGCAGGCAGAGCAGTCGGGCGCGCTAGCAACACGGCAGCACGCAGGCAGGGCAAGGCAGGGCGGCGGCCAGCAGGGCGACGCACAGGCAGATCAGGGCAGGGCGGAAGCCAGCAGGGCGGCACGCAGGCAGGGCACGGCGCGCGGCGGCGAGCAGCACGCGGGCAGGGCGGCGCGGCGGCGAGCGGCGCGCGGGAAAGGCAGGGCGCGCGGCGGCGAGCAGCGCACGGGCAGAGCGGCGCGGCGCAGCGAGCGGCGCGCGGGCAGGGCACTTCGCGCGGCGGCGAGCAGCGCGTGGGCAGAGCGGCGCGGCGCGGCGACGAGCGGCGCGCGGGCAAGGCAGGGCGCGCGGGCAGCGCGACGCAAGGCAGGGCGTGCGCGGGCGGCGCGACGCAAGGCAGGGCGTGCACAGGGCAGTGCGACGAAGGGCAGGGCACGGCGCGCGGCGGCGAGCAGCACGCGGGCAGGGCGGCGCGGCGGCGAGCGGCGCGCGGGCAAGGCAGGGCGCGCGGCGGCGAGCAGCGCACGGGCAGAGCGGCGCGGCGCAGCGAGCGGCGCGCGGGCAGGGCACGGCGCGCGGCGGCGAGCAGCGCGTGGGCAGAGCGCCGCGGCGCGGCGACGAGCGGCGCGCGGGCAAGGCAGGGCGCGCGGGCAGCGCGACGCAAGGCAGGGCGTGCGCGGGCGGCGCGACGCAAGGCAAGGCGTGCACAGGGCAGTGCGACGAAGGGCAGGGCAGCACGTCGCTAATAGGGTAGCGCGATTCGGTGGGCCCTAAAAAAAAAAAACGGTTCTAGGAGAGGACCTGCTCTGAAACCATGTTAGCAGAATAAACGAGAATGAATCACTAACAGCATGCAGGAGTACAAGTAACAAACCCTAATTGGATTGTACCCCATATGGGCTACCCCACTACAGCCTACACAACATGCAATATATAAGCTTGATATAGTAGATTGCTACTTGACATATGTGTCGGAAACCAATCGCAAATCTGGGGAAAACGCCAGGAATCGAAAGCTACATGCCAACGAATCGGTTCTGACTTGTTTACCACAACGACTTGCTGGAGGTACTGGGCGTGCTGGAGCTGGAGCTGCTGGAGCGGCTGACGGTACGGGTACTGTGCCGCGTCGACCGTTTTTCTACCCGCAGCCGCAGTCGTCCCTGCCGCCGCCTGACTCGGCGCTTCGCCAGGTTCTTAGTATCCCGTCTTCCACTGGCCTCACTCCACCTCTCCTGTGTCCACCGACAGACCAGTCTCAACCACAGCTACTGCCTGGCTCCCCGCTACCTGCTCCTGCTCCTCACACTGAGGTGACAAAGTTCCTGACTGAGCATCGTCAGCCTGAGACTCGTGCTTCCACACCTGTTCGTACTCGTCATGTCCCCCGTCCTCGTCCTCCTGTTGTCTCAGGCACTCACGTTATGGAACTACGTCCTTCCTCTTTTCCACAGCGTGTTGCCCTGCCGTCTCCTCTTGCGTCCTCTCTTCTTGCCGTTCCTGACCCTGAGTCCGACCTCGCTCGTGCTGCCAGTCCTACTGTCACTCGTCTCCTCGCTACTGTCGTCACTGACCCTGACTTTGAGTCTACTGTTGCGTTTGCCCTAGTCACAGAGCTAGTAGACTTTGCTGCTAGGAGTCGTCTCGACTACGTCGCGAGTCTTGTTACTGAGTACGACTCAGTCTGTCCTCCGTCCGTCAGGGGTGAACTTGCCCTTGGCTGTGATGTCCTTGAGGACAGGCAGTTTGAGCTTGAGTGTCTCGCGGCCGCTTTACCTCGTTTCGCGTCCATGCTGCTTTGCCCTGAGGGAGACCCGGATGCACTTGACATCCCCACCCCGCGCTCTTACGCAGAGGCGATCACGGGTGAGTACTCCTCTCAGTGGCAGACAGCCATGGATGCAGAGCTGGCTTCTTGGAAGTCCACATGCACCTACGTCGACGAGGTTCCCCCTCCTGGGGCGAACATAGTCGATGGCATGTGAATTTTCATAGTGAAGCGGCCGCCGGGTTCTCCGCCTGCCTTCAAGGCGCGTTACGTTGCTCGAGGCTTCAGTCCGCGACACGGGGTCGACTTCTTCCATACCTTCACCCCCATCCCGAAGATGACTACTCTTCGGGTGTTGATGTACGTTGCAGCACAGCGTGACTACAAGTTGCTCTCCCTCGACTTCTCCACATCTTTCTTGCAGGGCAGCCTTCACGAGGAGATCTGGGTGCGCCGCCCACCTGGCTTCACTGGGTCGTTTCCAGAGGGTACCCAGTGGAGCCTCCGGCGGCTAGTCTACGGTCTCCGCCAGGCGCCCCGTGAGTGGCACGACACACTGAGGACGTCACTTACGGCTCTTGGGTTTGCTCCTTCCACTGCTGACCCGTCGTTGTTTCTGCGCACCGAGCCTACTCTGCCGCCGCTCTACATCCTCGTGTACGTCGACGAATTGGTCTTTGCTACTGCCGACACTGAGGCGCTGACCCTTGTGAAGGCGGAACTGCAGAAGAGACACACTTGCACTGACCTGGGTGAGCTGCGTAGCTTTCTTGGCTTGCAGATCACCCGGGACAGAGCACGGTGCACCATCACTCTGACTCAATCACACATGGTGCACCAGGTCCTTCAGCGCTTCCGCTTTCGGTTCTCCTCGCCACAGCCCACTCCTCTGCCTACAGGCCACTCGCTCTCAGCTCCACCTTCGGACGAGTCCGTAGAGCCGAGTGGCCCGTATCTAGAGCTTGTGGGCTACCTCATGTACCTGATGACGTGCACACGGCCTGACCTCGCGTACCCTCTCAGCATCCTTGCTTGCTACGTCGCCCTCGGGCGACACAGGAAAATGCACTGGTCAGCTGCGCAGAGGGTACTGCGTTACTTGTGCAGTACATCGGGCATGGGGCTTGTGCTTGGAGGACGGGGTCCGGTGGTACTCACAGGACACTCCGACGCTTCTTGGGCTAACGACCAGGCGACTCAGAGGTCGTCCCAGGGTTACTCTTTCAGTCTCGGCTCTGGTTATGTCTCGTGGAGGTCCACTCGTTCGTCTTCTGTGCTTGGTTCCAGCTGTGAGGCCGAGATGGGGCCATGGCTGCACAGGAGTTAGGCTAGCTGACCTACCTGCTGACCGACTTGGGTGAGCGGCCTCGTTCTCCTCCAGTCCTGTACATTGACAACAAGGCCATGATTGCCTTGTGTCAGGAGCAGAGACTGGAGCACAGAATGACGCACATTGCTCTTCGTTACTTTCTTGCTGCAGCAGTGTGGTCAGCTGCGCCTTGCTTACGTGGCCTCTCGGGCCAACAGTGTTGATGTCTTCACCAAGGCCCTTGGGTCTGGTGATCATCAGCGTTTCTGCACTGCTCTAGGCCTTGTGCCTGCTCTGCCTCACCTGCTGGTTGCTTGACTTGTCTTGTACTGTGATCTATATGTATATATACCTGCTTGTGCTTTTATAACTCTGCATGTGAACTGGCCTTGTGGCCGCTTGCTTGTGCTCAGAATGCGTGGTGATCTTGAGATCCACCCTGAGCTTTGCTTTGCTTTGTTCTCTTGCTTGACTGGTCTTGTGACCGTCCGCTGTGTTCGCTATCCCCCACTTTGCCTATGGGGGTGTGTCAAATTGTATTTGTTCTCTGTAGGCTGTAGTGGGGCATACCCTAAAGGGTACAACACTTTAGGGCTAGGTAGTACTTGTACTCACTTCTCCTGCCTAGTCCATCATTCGTACGTTCCTATTCTGACAGGAAGTTGCTCACCAACTACTCCGGTCCCTCCCCCCACCCTCTTCCATCCCTCCCTCACCTTCCCTCCCCTCTTTCGGTCTCCGTCGATCCCTCACCCCCCTCTCTCCCTCATGTCCCCCCTTCCTTCCCCTAATTTATCCATTCCCCCCCCCCACTAGGTCCCCCCTATTTGCTCTCCATTTCCCGCCATGCGTACCCTTATTTTCACATCCTGCTTCCCCTCTTTTCCCCCCCTGCTTCCCCTCGTCCCCCCCCCCCTGATTCCCCTCCTTTTCCCCCCTGCTTGCCCTCCTGTTTTTCCTTTGCCTACCCACCTGTTCCCCCGCGCTTGCCCTCTCAGCGTCCTTGGCGCCCATCCTCCCCTGTCCTCCGCTCTTCCCCCCTGTCCTCTCCCCCCTGTCCTCCTCTCTCCCCCCTGCCCTCCCTTCTCCCCCCTGACCCCCACTCCCCCCCCTTGTCCTCCTCTTTACCCCCCGTCCTTTCCTCCGCTTTACTCCCCGTCCTATCCTCCTCTCTTCAACCTGCCATCACCCCTTCCTCCATACCTCATTTCCCTCCCATCCTCCATTGCTAGTCTCCCCCCGTTCACTCCTCCGCGGTTCCTTTTCTCTCTTCCTTCCTTCGTGTTTTGTTTTGTTCCTCAATTCCTCCCCTTTCTCATCACTTCTTCCCCTCTCTCATCCCTTCCTCCCCTCTCTCATCCTGTCCTCCCCTCTCTCATCCCATCCTCCCCTCACTCATCCCGTCCTCTCCTCTCTCATCCCGTCCTCCCCTCACTCATCTTGTCCTCCCCTCTCTCATCCCGTCTCCCCTCTAATCATTCCTTCCTCCCCTCCCTCATCCTGTCCTCCCCTCTCTCATCCCTTCCTCCCCTCCCTCATCCCGTCCTCCCCTCTCTCATCCCGTCCTCCCCTCTCTCATCCCGTCCTCCCCTCTCTCATCCCATCCTCCCCTCTCTCATCCCGTCCTCCCCTCTCTCATCCCGTCCTCCCCTCTCTCATCACTTCCTCCCCTCTCTCATCGCGCCCTCCCCTCTCTCATCCCTTACTCCCCCCTCTCATCCCTTCCTCCCATTTTTCATCCCATCCTCCCCTCCCTCATCCAGTCATCCCCTCTCTCATCCCGGCCCCTCCTCTCTCATCCCTTCTTCCCATCTCTCGTCCTTTTCCCCTGACTCAGCCCTCTCTTGTTGCTATCCTCCCTGTCTTGTCCCTCTTCTTCTCTAAATAGACACCTCCAGGGAGTATTGTTGCCTCCTCATGTCCTTGTGGCATGGCAGATGACAAGTAGCTTAGTGTCCACGTTAGGAGCACCCACAAGTCAAACACATTCTTGCTACTTGACATCTTGCGACACGGAATAGAACAGGTGACTTGCTATGGAATATAACAGTAGCGATAGAATAGAATGCCCCTCCTGGCATGATTGACCCCAACGCATGCTTCATGCTCTACATTGTGACACACAGGTTTTGTAACCACTCTGAAGACGCCTGGAACCACTGTAACATCTCAAACCGCCACAGCTTGCCCCATGGCACTTTACAAAGCGTCACCATTCCCTCCCCTCGACCACAAAGCGCTCTACAGCGCGGTCTGCCCACATCCTCAAAGAAACCCACGAGACAAACACGAAACAAGCAGTATGAAGATGTTCTCAAAAGGAGTAGACGTCGAAGGTGAAAATAACACGGAATCAATACAGTAATTTACCTCACATGCCCTCCTGTATGGATGCGCCTAGATCTTCCGCTGTCCTCGTCTTGTCGGTGGGTCATTTGCATCCCCGGATGGAGAGAGTGGCAGACAAGTACGAAAGGACAGGGAGGGGAGAGAGAATGGTGAGGGGAACAGGTACACGTGGTGACGCAGCGCGCTAGGCAGTGCAATAGGCAATGCGTAAGGCAGGGAGGCAGTGCCAGCAAGAGTGCAGTCAGGGCAAGCAGGAAGGCAGGCAGCGCGCTAGGCAGTGCAACAAGCAGTGCAGAAGGCAGGGAAGTGGTGCCAGCAGGAGTGCAGACGGGGATGAGTGCAAGCAGGAAGGCAGGCAGCGTGCTAGGTAGTGCACATAGGAGATGGAGGGGAGGGGATGGGGATAGGACAGCGTGCGGAAGGGGGGCTAGGACAGGGCAGGGAAGGGGGATAGGACAGGGCAGAGAGAGGGGGGGATAGGATAGGGCAAAGACAGATGTGATGGGACAGGGCAGAGAGAGGGGATAGGACAGGGCAAAGAGTGGGAATAGAACAGACAGAGAGAGGGGATAGGACAAGGCAGAGGGTGGGGATAGGACAGAATAGAGACAGGGGAAAGGACAAGGCAGAGAGTGGGACTATGACACGGAGGGGTAACGGGACTGAGAGAGGAGAGAGGACAGGGAAGGGAGGAGGGATAGAGAGGAGAGATAGGACACGTAGGAGATGTAGAACATGGAATGGAGAGAGGGAGGGAGGGGGGATAGAGGGCAGGGAGTCGAGAGGGAAGACGGGGAGAGAGGCCAAGGAGTGGAGAGCAGGAAGAGGGAGGAGTGAGGGCAGGGAGTGGAGAGAGGGAAGAAGGGGGAGATAGGGCGGAGAGTGGAGAGAGGGAAAGAGGGGCAATGAAGGGAGAGAGGGAAGGGAGGGAATGGAGAGAGAGAAAGATGGGGGAGAGACAGAAGAGGAGGGAGAGTGGGAAGAAGGGGGCGAGATGGCATTCACGGGAGAGTGGGAAGGGAGGTGAACGTTGGGCAGGGAGTGGAGAGAGAGTGAACGAGAGAGTGGGCAATGTGATTGGCGTGATGTACCTGTTTTCGTGATCAAATAGTTGTGACAGAGATGCGGAGAGGCTCTGCGACGGTGTGGGGAGAGGTGGGGGCAACGCTGAGGAGAGAGGCACGGCTTGGGCGACGGGTACGGCACTGTGACAGCGAGGGGAGATAGAACAGGGAGGGGAAATAGGTCTGAGAGAGGAGAGATGACAGGAAAGGGAGGCAGGACAGAGAGGGGAGGGAGGAGATGGAGTGGAGATAGAACAGGGAGAGGAGAAGTTGCCTTCACGAGAGGAGAGAGGACAGGGAAGGGAGTTACAACAGAGAGGGGAGATACGGTAGGGATGGGAGGTTAGGGCGAGAGGAGATATGACAAGGAAGGGAGGTAGGGTGGGGAGTGGATGTAGGACATTGAAGGGAGATGGGACAGGGTCAAGAGATAGGACAAAGAAGGGAGATTGGACTGGGAGGGGAAATAGGACATAATGGGAGAGAGGACAGAGGAAGGAGAGGAGAGAGGATATGGATGGGAGATAGGGAATGGAGGGGAGATCGTAGTGAGAGGGGAGGAACGACATGGGAGGGATGACAGGGAGGGGAGGGATGACAGGGAGGGGAGAAACGACAAGGAAGGGAGAGATGACAGGGAGGGGTTTCCCTGACAGAGAGGGGAGATTTGACACGGAGTGGAGAGAGCACAGGTAGGGGTCATCAGGGAGGGGATGTAGGGCGAGAGTGGATATAGGTCATAGAAGGGAGATAGGACAAGGGATGAGGATGGGATGGAGTGTGGGGCGGAACGGAGTATGTGCTGGCACCTAAGTTTGAAAATCAGAATCGCGAGCCGACGGGAAGGATGCGAGGCATGCATCAGGGGACGGACACGCGAGAGGAGGGCACGGACCCAATTCGCCCAGGCAAGAGGCTGAAGGGCACGAGCGTCAAGAACCGCCAGCTGGGGGTTTGGCGCCGACAGGAGTGGAAGGGAAGGGCGGGAGTCAGGCGCTTGCCGACGGAGCGTGTCATGGCAGGAGGAGGCGTCGGTGCAGCGATGGAAATATACGTTGTTGCCCAAGATCGAAGTGGCGGAGCGTTTCTCAGGAGATGCGCGACGAGGACCCTCCATTAAAAACTACGTGATGCAGCTGGAGAACCTGCGCGCCCGATGGGAACAAGTTCTTCCGTGGTTTGGCGAATACGCTGATTGGGAAAGGGGAAACCTACTATCGTATCAGTCGGCGGGAGCTGTTGGAGTGGGCGGCGCGAGCAGCCCCGGGGGAGAGGGATCCGACAACTCGCTTCCTGGGCATGCTGGAAGAGCAATTTTCTCCGCAGACGCCGAAACGGTTCGCGGAGTTTCGGGACTTTCGGCGCAGGACCGGGGAGTCACTAGTGGCCTACTACGGCCGACTGGTGGAGCTAGCAGAGGATATGAGCTGCCACGATCAAGGTCGACTGGTCAGCAAATTTCTGAATGGCCTGCACTATGAGCTCAGGCGGGACGTGGCGGTACTCGTTTTCGATATGGGGGCTCGTACGACACTCAAGGAGGGTTATGAGGTGCTGAAGTGGGTGGAGACGTGCCGTCGCATGTACAAAATTGAAGCGACTCCGGAAGGAGTGATGAACGCAGGCGACCGGCGTGGGCGGCAACACTAGCCGATCGAGAACGACCACCACGTCGAGGAAGGGAGGAAAGGCGATGCCAAAATTGCGGGAAGGCGGGACACCTCTGAAGGGACTGCCGCAATCCGCCAGCGTGCTCGGCATGTGGGAGTGGTGAACACATGAGGCTTGACTGCCCTGACTCCCCGGTGTGTGAGCGTTGCAGGCGAAAGGGACACCTGGAATGGGACTGTTATGCGGCAGGGCGAGAAGGGCGGCAGAAGAGGGACCCGGAAGACATGCGTGCTCAGATAGCGCGCCTGCAGCGACAGTTGCAGGAACTGGAAGGCCATGACCCGAAGGGGACAGCTATGCTAGCCAACGCCGAAGAGGAAGAAGAAGTGGGCAGCGAGGCGAGCTTCGCTCTGGTGGCGCGGCCAGCTCGGGAAAGAGACGACATGGGTCTGCGGGCGCGGCAGCGATACTTCCCAAGGGAGCAGCAAACGCAGGAAAGGCGTCCCAGGCGTGATACTTCTGAGGAAGCCCAGAACGGAGCGGCACGTCGGCACCCGCTGGAGAGAATGGCGTGTCAGCCCTTGGTCTTGGTGGTGGAGAGAGAGGTGATGGCGGTGGGAGGAGTTAAGGTCAAGCAAGCGAATCTGGGCACGGGGGCGCACAACGTGCTGATAGGAGCTCCCATGGCAAGGCTGTTAGGGGATCGGGAGGATCGAGTAATCCCGGAAGGTTATCTACTCATGAAGGAAGACGGAGGGGCAGCCAAGTGGATGCCCAGGACCCAGAGCCCCGTGGAGATTGTGATCCAGACGGGGCAGAAGGAGGAACGTGTGGTGAGGATATTTTGCGGGATATCGACGTCGGAGGATTACGATATGCTGCTGGGAGTGGATTACTTGTACAAATATGGACACTACCAACTGCACAACGGTTAGGTGCTTGCATAAAATAGGTCGTTCGCTATGGAACCTGCAATCAAGACAGCATCAACAGATCGTGACATGTGAGAAAATAACCATATCAACCAAAGGCTTACCGAAAACGCACACATACGAACCGGTATCCGCGCTAGCACATCCACCTGCACTGCACCGCACATACACGCGAAAAGTTCACGATACGCGTTAGCGACGATCGCGCTACGATCACTCCGTCTCCCTCACCTGGCTGCGATCTCACAGCCGCTTGCGCATTGCCACGTGAAAGTAATTGCAAATAGCAATCATATCGTGAGCGGAATCATCGAAACAAGGAAATGGCGACTCACCAGCACTGTCGTCGCCATCGGCTGCCCGGGTGGCGGCATCCCATCGCTAGTCGCGCGGACGTTAGCGCGGACGTAAGCTTGAAGCTAACCTAGAAAAACCATGGGGAATGGAGGTGGGAAGGGAGGGCAGAAGCCGAGGGGGATAGATGCCTAACGAGATTTGCAGTTCACTAAGGTGACACTACGATTATTGCTGCGTGTGGAATCAAATCAGGGGACACTAGGGACTCGGCACTGACCGAAGCTGTCGTATGAGGCGACGGGCGGCGGCTTCCCTTCGCGAAGCGTGCGGTGGTTCATCATGGTGATGCAGAGATTAACCACTG